AAGTGACTTGTGCAGGGTCACACAACTAGTAAGTGTCAAGTGGTTGGTCTGAGACCAGATTTGAACTCAGGTCCTTCTGACTTCACTGTGCCACCTAGCTTCCCCCCTTTTCTTATTTTTTACAAACAATTTAAATAATATTGCTATTTTTCTTTGAAGGTTTCATAAAATTCACCTTTAGAAACTATCTGGTGTTGGGGTTCTTTTCTTGGGAGTTTTCTTTTAGTGATATTTGGTTATTTAAATTCTCTTGTACTGTTAATCTGAGTACTTTAGATTTTCATCCATTTAAGTTATCATGTCTGTTGGCATATAATTGGTCAAACATTTATGTTTTCCTTCATCTTAATATTTTGTGAAGTTTTTTTATTTTGATATTTTGCAATTTGATTTTCCTCTTAAAAATCAGATTAATAGTTTATTTCTTAACAGTTCCTGGTTTTATTTATCAGCTCAATTTTGCTTTCATTTTAAAATTTCTCGATTATCAGAATAACTCTTTTGTTTTTCTAGTTTTGTCTTCTTCAATTCAATGACCTGTTTGAAGGCTTTTCCAGGTCTGACCTCCCCAACTTTAGTGGCTTTTGCTATTTGTCCTTTACTATTTTGTTCTTTGCTATTATGCATATACAGGTGTCCCAAAAGTCTTAGTGCCACTTACAACTTAATAAGCTGGAGTGCCTTTAAATATAACATTGCTTTCCAGTTTTATTGCTTTTATCTACGTCTGTTTTTACTGTTGTAAAGTCATACTAATAGCATGATTACTACCTGTTTTTTTGAATTCCCACATGGCAAAATAAAAATTTTTATGGCTCCTTTTAACTCTACATTTTTTGTTTCAAGTATATTTCCTGTAAACATTTAGTTGGATTTCGCTTTTCAATCCATCCTACTGCCTTCCTCTGCTTTATGTATATGTTCATCCCGTTCACATTTATTGACTGTTCATTTAATATTTTCCTCTATTACATCCTATTATATTTTCCCTCCTTGCCTCCCCTTCTTTAATAAGAATGTGATTAAAGTTAGTAATCTAGAACTGATTTTCTCCCACTTCCTTACCCCTCTTTTCACCTAGTCCAGACCCTGATCCCTAGTTCTTAAAACTTTGGTTTTTTAATCCCTCTGTGATCCACCCTCTGTAGTTGGAATTTTCTGTGCTTGTGACTGCTCTCTCCCCAGCTCTGCCTTTTCCCACTCTCATAGTCCCTACCTGCTTTCTTGTTGAATTTGATATATTTCTATACCAAAGTGTGTGTGTGTGTGTGTGTGTGTGTGTGTGTGTGTGTGTAAGTAATCAACCTTCCTTTGTCTAGTTTCAGTAGTTTCATGAGATGCCTATTTCCATCACCCCTCTTCCATGTTTATATATTCTTCTTCTGGTATACCCAAATTATGAGAAATAATTAGTTCTTCCCACTTTCTTATTTCTTCTGTATTGTAGTTTTCCTTCTGTATCATTACTTTTTGAAAAGAATCCAAGCAAAACAAAACCACAATCCAGTCACTTTAGTTTTTGTTAATTCCCTCTGTCATCTTTGAAGATAATAGAATTCTGAAGGGATATTTGTCCCTTCTCCCCCATTAGAATATAAATATTTCATTTATTCTCTTCGAATACTCTGACATATTTATTTCTAGGTTGTTCTTGTCTTCTTTGTTTGCATTTTCAAAAATTCTTCCCAGTTCCACTCTTTTCATCAAGAATTCTTTGCTTGTTTTTCTATCTAATCTTGGATAGAAGCTTGCGATACTCTACTTATATTTGTTGTGAAATTATTTTTTTCTTCCGGGTCAGCCTCTTGTACCTCTCTTAACCCATAGTATTTCTTAATTGATGTTAGCTGCTCAGGTGTGTACAGTTTCTAGCTACATGGCTCTGTGGGCTCTGGCTTTGTGACCGCTCTTTTTTTTTAAGGCAATTGGGATTAAGTGACTTGCCCAGGGTCACACAGCTAGTAAGTGTCAAGTGTTTGGTTTGAGGCTGGATTTGAACTCAGGTCCTCCTGACTTCAGGGCCAATGCTGTAGCCACTGTGCCACCTAGTTGCCCCTGTGACCACTGTTTCTACAAAAGACTGGCACCAGTGACCTGAGTTCACATTGGCTTCCACTCCCCTTCAGTGTCCTTGCTTAGCAGACCTGTTTCCTGGACCTTGTGCTAGTTTTTATACCCTCTGGCATGATGGTCCCCCCATATACACCCCCCCCCCAGGCTTCTGGACATCTTCTTGTGCAGTCTTAAACTACATTGAAGAGCTTTTGGCTTTGGTGACAGAGTGGACAGAAGATTTAGGATCAAAAAGATCCTGACAGACCAGAACGTTGGACTAAATCAAATACTATGTAACTGAATAGGGATAAAGTTTTGTACTTGGGTACAAAAAAATCAGTTTCACAAGTAGCTGTCAGTCAAACATTTATTAAACACCTACTGTGTGTCAGGCTCTGGTGCTAAGTACTGGGGATAATAAAAGGAGCAAAAATCTCCTACCTCTAGAAGCTCACAGTCTAATGGGGGAGACAACTACCAAACAAGTATATACAAACCAGCTATATACAGAACAAATCGATAATTAAGAAGGATTGGGAATGGCTTCTTGTAGAGGATGGGATTTTTTTGGTGGATGGTACAGTCAGAAAAAAAAATTGGGGGATCTTATTGAGCCAAGTGTTCAACACATGTCAGTGTGGCATGCCACATTTGATTAATTTGATTATAATTTGATTAATAATGATTAATTTGATCTTAGGCTGCATTAAGGGGGCATAGCTTCCAGGAAAAGGCAGGTGGTAATGCCCCTGTATTCTGCCCATGTCAGAACTCACTTAGAGTATAGTCACCTTTGCCTGCCTTTAAGTTTTAAGGACATTGATAAGGTGGATAATGTCCATGGAAGGGCAGCCATGTTATATAGGATCAATTAAAGGAACTGAGAATGTTTAGTTTGATGAAAAGAAGATTCATAGTGAGGAGGGGACATTGTAATAGTTGTCTTTAAGTATTTGAAGGGCTTTCATGTGGAAGAGAGATTAGACCATTTTTCTTTCATCTAGAAATGGCGAAGAAGCAGATTTAGGCTCCCTGTCAGGAGAAACTTACTAACAACACTCTCCAAAAATGAAATGGGCCACCTCTAGATTTGTGCTTTCCCTTCCTGGATGGTCCTCAAGCCAAGGCTGGATGTCCATTTATGGGACACAGGATAGTGGAGATTTTTTTGGGGGGGGATGGGGAGCGGGGAATCTATGCTGGACCAGATCAGAGGTGTCAGACTTACTGAGTGGCCCCAACCACATGAAAATGTAATTGGGAACTATTTAACAAAAATAAGTAAAAATCCCATAAAACCAAGATGATGTTACACTTTAAACTAAGTCAATACGTGGCCTGCAGAGGTGCTAATGTATGGTTTAGTGGCCTCCATTTCTGTTCGAGTTTGACACCACTGTCCAAGATGACTGCAAAGGTTCTTTCCAACCCATAAATTCTGTGACATAGTGCTCATGTTTGATAGCATAGGCAATGCCTGTAGTCATCTATCTTTCTTCCAAAAGGAGGGAAATGTGTTAACATCATCTGTTCACTAAATGAAGTGTGTGATTGATCACTGCATTTCATCCAAGTTCAAGTGCCTTATAGTGGTTTTAAAAAATTTTTTATTTACATTATTGTAGTCATATATATTGTTCTCTTGAGTTTGCTTTTCTACATAAAGCATCAATCAGTTCATACTGTTCTTATTATTTTCTGCATTCTTAATACTCATTTCTTGAAGCACAACAGTGTTCTATTACATTATCCATTATCACGATTCATCTGGTCATTCTCTAATTGATGAGTATCTAGTTTGTTCCTAAGTTTGTTTTTTTGTTAACAGAAGAAGTGTGACTATTAACAATCAATATACATTTATTAAGCACTTACTACCATGGGCCAGGCACTGTGCTAAATAGTAGCTATGAGTATTTTTGTATCTATGAGACCTTGACTCTGACCTCCTTATGGTATATGAACATGAATGAGATTGCTGAAATAAAGTGTATGGTCAGCTTAGAACTGTTCACTTGTAATTCCTGTTTTCCACAGTGTTAGGTTTCTGGGTTTGTCTGTTTTTTTACTTTTTTTTTTTTAACCAATTCCTAGTTCTGCCAGCAGCATGTTAACGCATTTGTCTTCCCATGGCAATTTTGAACACTAACTCCTTTATGTTTCATCAGCCAGTTTGATGAGTGTGAGGTAAAACCTCATCATTCTAATATTTTACAGTTAATGATTTGTAGCATTATCCTATGTGACTTATATAAAGAACAAGAAGGAAAAAAAAGTGACATGTTTTATCACAAGTGTGGGGAACCGTTGGCCTTGAGGCCACATGTGGCCTTCTAGGTCCTTGTATGCGGCCTTTTGACTAAGTCCAAGTTTTACAGAACAAATCCTTTTATTAAGAGGATTTGTTCTATGATGTGTGGATTCAGTCAAATGGCCGTGCTTGAGGACCTAGAGGGCCACATGCCCTGTGTCTTTTAGGTGTACAGATTTTCCTACAAATTTGAACAAGATCCTTTACCTCTTGGGGGAGAGGGGGGTAGGGTCCTCTCCTTTCCCCCTCCTCTTCTGTCCCTCTCCCTCTTCCTCTCCCCCTCTCCTCCGAAAATCTAGGAATGAAAAGTTCTAAGTAATTATTACATGGTATTAGTATTTTTGTAGTTTGGTTCCTTCTGTAGTTTGGTTTTCTAGACTAGGAAAACTGTCCTATTTGAACATAAATCATATAGAAGAAACTTTGCTAGGTCACTGCTTCAGTTTTGCCCTTCTTAGCCTCCTGGGTACCTTTTTGCTTTCTTAGGTTTGAATTCTGCCAAAATTTAAGACAAAATGATTCCAGATGAACAAAGTCACAGCCTTTATAGTTTTTAAAGTAATTTGAAATGAAAAACCCCTTGATCCTCCAAGGAGATCTACCCTCACTTAATACTTCTGTCTTTCTCCTTTAGGAGCCTGGCCCTGCCAAGATGGCTGTCACCAGCAGCAACATTCCGAGTGCAGAAAAAATCCCCACCACCAAGTCAACACTCTGGCAGGAGGAGATAAGGGTCAAGGACCAGCCAGATGGGAGTACCCTTAGTCCAGTACCGAGTTCTGGATCAAGTCAAGTGCTCCCAGCCAGCTCGTTGAAAGAACCTGGGCTGGAAAACAAAGAAGGTAAGACACACTGGATCCAGCTCATCAGAGATAAAAACATAATTAGGGTTATCCCAGGTATTTCAGGTAAAAGTGGAGCTTTGTCTGAATTATCAGGAAAATTGTATTGATTATTTATCTGGCTTTCATAGAGTAGGCCTAGACTCTGTTTTAGAAGCAAAATTAGGTTTGAAAATGACATCCCTATGAATTCACTTAATTTCTATTCTCACCAAATGAAAATAAACAAATGCAAATAGACCATCCATTTCCTTCTAGCTGTTTGGGAAATAGAGCTGATTGGGAAATGGTTCTTTCACTTATGATACTGACTGGTACTCTTCTAACTGTTCCTCTCCCTAAAAAAAGCAACTTACCAAGTCATTTTTTGTAGCTTCCTAAAACCTTAGAACATTAGAGTCATAAGAAACTAGAGATCGATCAGCTATCCCAGTTCCTTTGTTTTATACAGAAGAAAACAAGGAACCCAGAGAAATTAAGGGATTGGCTTCCAATTACCATGTTTTTGCTGTGCTAGGACTAGTACCCAGGTGTGCTGACAGCTGGTCCAGTATTCTTTGCCAGCCTTGATGAGGGAAAATGGATGGGGACTTTTTGAAGGCAAGGTTGGGCACCTGATACTGACCTTCTTGAATTCTCAGAAACTCTAGACTGAGATGGGTCCCATGGTCAATAAATAGCAAGCAGGCTTTTGAATATGAATCTGTCATTTGTTTTGATCCAAGCTAAGATTTAGCAAGGCTTTTCCTAGGAACTAGTAGTAAGTTGGGGGATCCCACTTCTCTCATAGTAACTCACCTGAATGTATACATGATCCTTCCCCCTTTTGTTTTCTCCCTGTGATGGTGACATGCTGGGACCTGCAGCTTAGGAAAAAAAGGAAACCTCTTTGTGATGGTAAAAGTTTAGCTCCGGGGCAGCTAGGTGGCCCAATTGATAGAATACTGGCTCTGGACTCAGGGGGATCTGAGTTCAAATCTGGCCTCAAATGCATGATACTCACTGCCTGTGTGACCCTGGGCAAGTCACTTAACCCTGACTGCCTCAAAAAAAAAAAGAGAGAGAGAGAAAAGTCTAGCCCCCTGATACACAATTAATTTCTTTTGGAATTTTTAGGGAAGGGTTCCCCATCTTTAGCCTTAACAAACCTCAGATCTAGATTCTTCTAGTCCAGGAGTGGGGAAACTGTGGGCTCAAGGCCATATGTGACCATCTAGGTCCTCGAGTTCAGCCTTTTGACTGAGTCCCAGTTTCACAAAACAAATCCTTTTATTAAGGGAATTTGTTCTGTGAAGTTTGGATTTAGTCAAAGGGCAGCACTTGAGGACCTAGAGGGCCACATGTGTCCTCAAGGCTGCAGGTTCCCCTTCTAGTTATTCCCCTTCTCTTTCTTCTTTTCTTAGTCCCTTCTCTGAATACCATTTTCTACTTTATTTTTTCCTAATGATGTTCTCACCAGGCAAAATAATGCCTTGGTTTCAGCCAAAGAGGGGAAAAAAAAGATTTCAAACATTTTAAAGGTTCTTATGTTTTTATGTATTATAAATTACTCCTACCACCATTAATTACTCTGATTTTTAAAATTATCTAAACCTTACATCCCTCAAATCTCCAGTCTTAAAATGGAGTTTCAAATGATAAAAGTAACTCAGATGAAGCTGGAGGGGGAGGACAACTTCACACAGTTTCCCATCTGGGCATCAGTTGTGATTCATACTCATAGAATACATGTGTCATGAGTGTCACTTTTCCTGTAGAGGAGATGGAGAGACGTGGACCAGAGCTGTAGAGATGGTCAGATTCATGGGAATTGTGCGTGTTTCAGTGCCAGCACAACAGGAGAGCTCCACTGAAGCACCCAAGCACTTCTTCTTGGCCCTGTACTGTTTGACATTTTTATGTTAACTCTCAAATTCTGTGAATCTGGGGAGACATTTGGTTTCCAGGAAAATAAAAATAACTGCTAACTTCTAGTACTTTAAAGTTTACAAAGTACTTTACATATGTTAAGCACTTTGTAATCTCATCTGAGCCTCCCCACAACCCCGGGAGATAGACACTTGAAAGTATTATGCCCTTTTTACAGATGAAAAAACTGATATTCTTAGAGATCAGATGACCTACCTGTCCTGAGTTACACAGCTAGCAAGTGTCAGAGGTAGTATTTGATCCCAGATCTTCTGAGTCAAAAGCCTAGCATTCTGTGTCATCAGTCAGTGTGTGCTTATCTTTGGTTCAGAAAACTAAGTGACAATATCTTTAGAGAAAAGGTACAAATATGTTACCTAGGCCTCTCACCCTCTGAAAAGAATTGGCAAAAGAATTCTCTGGCAGAGAAGATAGGCAAGTGGTAGTCTGGAAGATGGGCCAGAGAAATTGCCCACTCTGACTACTAGTGGTGAGTTCATTTAAAAATACTAATTAACCAAACATAGTACAATGTAGGGTCTTAGGGAAAAGGTTGCTATCGATCGGGAGGCATCAGCCGTGCTTTAGTGGAGGAGGTAGCTGTTGAATTGGCTTTTAAAGGATCGACAGGAAGTTGCTGGTGAAGAGGTGGAAGAACAGTATTTCAGGGATATCAAATGGTGTGAACAGACGTGAGAAGGTGTAAAACACATTTGGAGGACCCAAAACAAAACAGTTTTTAAGTACAGAATGTATGGAGAGTAATAATAGGGGAGAAGACTGGAAATGCAAGTTGTTGACGGTCTATGAAGGGCTTTGAATGCGAAGCATAAGTTTGAACTTAGTAGGCAGTAGGGAGCCATGAATGGTAGACTAACATGATTAGAAAAATTATTTAAGCAGGAGGATGAAGGATCGGTTAGGGAAGGCAGAAGACAAGTGGAAAGACCTATTGGAAGAGTATAATATTCCAGATAGGTGCTAGTGAGGACCTAAGATGTTGGGGAGAAGAAGAAAGGGGAAGAGACTGATGTCAGAGATGTTATAGGGATGGAAGCACCAGGCCTTTGTAACTGATTAGATAGGACAGGTGATGGAAGTTGAATCAGAGTTAAACCCAAAGCTGAGGGCATGGATGACTAGATGAATGACATAAGAGTAGAAAGAGGGACAGATTTAGGAGAAAAGAGCTCCATTTCAGACGTGTAGAGTTCAAGGTGCTGGTGGAACATCTGGGTGAGGGTGTCTTGAAAGCAGCTTGAATTGCAGGTTTGGAGCTCAGAACAGAGGTCATGGGGTGGGTGTATATTTTAGGATAATCTGCGTAAGAGGCAGTAGTTGAAGTTGTTACAATGAATGAGATTGCCAAATGAAAAAGGAGCCAAGATTTCCAAGAGAAAGTTAAGAGGGAAGAGAAGAAAACAAAGGAGAAACCCATCTTGAGAGAACTGGGAGTTGGGAGAATGCTGAGCAGCCAGTGGAGGACATGAAGAGAGAGGGGCCAGTGATACAGAACCAGGAAAGTGGTGTCTCAAAGCAGTCACCAGCCATGTCAGAAGCAGTGGCGGTCAAGCAGAATGGGGCCGTGGCCGCCGGCCTTAGGGCAGTGTGCATGGAATGGTGGGGAGCCAAGTCACATTTCAAGGGGTTAAGGAGGCAGCAGTGGGGAAGTGGAACTGTCACAAAACTCTTTCAGAGTTGAGAAGGAAATCAAAAGAGAGAAATGGTATGTAAAGAGACTTTTAGGAACTGTGGAGTAGGCACCCTTTTAAAAATCCTGGCTCCGTTAGAACTCTTTGAAACAGACAATGGCAGCCAGCCCCAGGTGGCCTCCAAGCTCAGTACACGCCCTCTGTCTCCCTCCTTGTCTTTCTCCTTTTCCTCTTTTCTTCCCCCCACCCCCTTCCCTCTTTTCCCTCTCTCAGAGGAGAGCACCATGAATGGTGACCGAGTAGACTGTGGACGGAAGGCCAGAGTGGAAAGTGGCTACTTTTCCCTGGAGAAGACCAAGCAAGACTTGAAGGCAGAAGAGCAGCAGTTGGCACCACCACCATCCCCTCCCAGCCCCAGCATCCCCAATAACAGGTATAGTTACCCAGAACTACCTTTCCAGGAGCATGGCCGCCCCTTTTCTTCCCCAGGTCCCCAGACTGCCGGCCGAATAATCTGCAGCATCTCCCTGAACTCCCTGGATTCAGCAAGCCAGCACCCCATCCACAAGGACTCCAGCAGCGCTGGGGGGAGGGAAGCAGAGAAACCGGGGCGCCTCTTTGCCTTTAAAGCCAGCAGGCAGTACGCCACTCTAGCCGACGTGCCTAAGGCCATCAGGATCAGTAATCGAGAGGCCTTCCAGGTGGAGAGAAGGCGGCTGGAGCGCAAGACCCGGGCCCGCAGCCCTGGCAGGGAGGAGGTGGCTCGTCTGTTTGGCAACCAACGAAGGTAAGGAGGGGGTGAAAGGGCCTCTACAGGGGGAGCAGACCCTCCCTTTGCTGCTTGGCTCAGTGTTTGCAGGGATTCTTTTCCCTTTCGCACTGAACCTCCTGTGCTCCTGATACTAAAATTCATCCAGGCAGATTCCATGCTGCTGTCCTTCGACCGGCTCCTAGAGTAAGGCCTCTGTAGTGCAGCTAGCCCAGAATTCTCTTATTGCCCCGGGTCTTGAGTCATCCCCTGTAGTCACTGACTGGTGTCTCATGTTGGTGCCATTGTGGCCAGTTTCTCAGAGCTGTGTCTTGCCTGGTTTGAGGTGAGCCACTTGGTCCCATGAAAGCGAAGTCAGTCCTTACTGAGGCCTAAGACAATGGCAACAAAAGAAGCAAAGGGGCTACCCAACAGGAACACTGAAAAGAAAAAAAAGAAAAGGGCACTGGTTTTTCTTTTTTAGTGAAATGGAAAGAGTCCTGGACTAGATGTTGAAAGACCTGTGTTCAGGCCTTCACTGCCACTAGTCCATCATAGGATAGTGGGCAAATCATTCTACCTCTTTGGGCCTCCATTTCACCCTCATTTTACAGAGAAGGAAACTAAGACCAAAGGTAGTTAAGTGACTTTCCCAAGGTCACTCATAGCAATGTTAGAAGAGGAAGGGATTCAAAGCCAGGTAATCTTCCAGCTCTAAAAATCCATAAAACTTCACACTTGACTCCTATCTCCTACCTACTCCTAATCCTCATAGTTTAGGATTATGAATTGAAACCTTTTGCTGAGACCAATAAAGTAATTCTTATCTGAAACCTCATTTCTGTGAACACCATTCAGCCAGTGACTCTGTCTTACTGGAAGGACGTGGAATTTGGGCAACTGTGTCCTTCTTTCCTCTTCCTCTTCCATCTTCATTCCTTGCTTTCTGAAGGTTGAGAGAACCCTTTTCCCCCTTCTGTAGACTACCTGTGTGGAAACCTTGCTCCTCTGTTTCCAGGTTGGCTAGGAAGTAAGAGTTCAACTTGGCTCCAGAAGTGGCTGGGTCCTGTTTTGGGACCAAGGGAGGGTTCCATGGTGTTTTCTGGAGACACTTGAGTACTTAAGCGGCCATTCTTTACCTTTTTGACCAAAGAACAGTGAGTGATATTACCATGTGGGCCTATGAAAAGCTTTTTCAGAGGAAACCCTCAGAAACTGAAAATTCATGATTAGATGGACATCTTCAGTGACTAAAGTTGTTGCTTAAGTGTCAAGGGATTTGGAGCATCGTCTGTTGAGAATTTAAAGGGGTGTTTTGGTTCCCTAGGTACTGCTTTTTCCTCTTTAACCATGGACAGATAGTCAAGAACTCCTTGGTTTCAGTATCGTGGAATATTGGAATGGGACCTTGGCATCCTCTCGTCTAACCCCCCTTTGTTTTAACAAAGGAGGAAATTGAGATCTAGAGAAATGACACGCCAAAGGCCATACATTAACTTAAAGTCTTTGTAAAGAAAATATTTCTGAAGAAATCTAGGATAGTCAGTGAGTATAGGGAGGGTTACTAAATGTCTTGAAAAGAGGAAACTATGAAGAAACTTTATAAATAGTATTTATATAGTGCTTTAAGGTTTGCAGAGCACTTTACATATGTTAGCCCATTTGATTGGTTATCTAGAACCAATGCAAATTTTAAATTAGAAAACTGTACTTAACTGTCATTGTAATACTGTCATTGAAGTTCCCATGCTATGACTATGGCACTTCCTCACCATGGAACAGCTTTGTAGAATGAAGCTCTTTTGGTACTTGAGTTACTTAATGTGTGAATAGTTCTGCCTTATGCTGCATCTATGGTAGTAAACTAGAGTCCAAGGCGGGTCTATATAAAGAGAGCCTCATGGTGCACGTACCAGGAGGAGGCATTTCTTGTGTTGTGTATTGTGAGCACCCTTCTCAATGTGCTGTTTTTCCATCTGTCATTGAAGCACTAGATGAAGGGATGCAAGGATAGTTGGCCTTGTTCTTATAAGCTGGGGAGTGAAAATCAACCCACTTTTGCTCTGTGGCTACACAGGGAGTTGGCCATGGGGTTCCTGCTCAGTCCCCTGGAAAAGGATTCAAGGTGAAACTCTGACTCCTGGGAACAAAACCAGGATTTAATAAGTTACTTTTTTCGGCTTGGATTGTCCTTTTATAAAAACACACTCCTAAAAGATGGGGCTGGGGGAGGGTATGGGAGAAGCTCAGCTTCCTGGGGCACTGTTGTATGTGGCAGTTTTCGAATGGGGCTAGCAGAGTCCTGGTTTAGCGCCATACCAGAGAATTAACATTTGGTGCTTATCTGCTTGGCTTGGCTGCTTTTAGAATGATTCATTTGAAATTTAGTGGTTGTATAATGATTTGGGATAGAATTTTTTCTCTTTGCTTTCATTCAGCATGCTCACCAACTCTGCTCCTCAGCTGCAAGGATCCATGTTGGATCTGGTTTATTTTGAGTAACACCAGCTTCTGATTGTCCATGATGAAACCCAATTATAACGTCTGCTTTCTGATTCATATTCACTGGTTCTAGAAAAGCCCAGCATATTTTGGTCAGCTTCTTCCCCCCACCCTGATTTCTCAGCCAGCAACTTCTTCGTGATGCATCTGGGATAAACCTGCTAGGGAGCCCTGCTGCTCTTCTACAGAACCAGTCTTATCTGAGCATAGTGTTGAATTTAAAACTTCTTATTCCTTAAGCTTGTCACAAAGCTTGACCCGTTTGGCAGAGCAGCTGCTGAATTCTAACTCTAGGAAAGCAGCAGTAACAAGAACAGGAGAAGGGGTCTAAAAATCAGGGTCGATTCCCCGGGCACAGGTCTGTAAAAAGAAGTAAAATGACACAGATGTTCTCTGCACATCTGAGCCAATTTCACTAAGGGAGATTGGAGCAGGTAAATTTTCCTATATGCTGGGTGAAGTATGCAGTATGCACACCTTCATGGCAGTAGCTGATAGAGGGTTTTTATATTATGTCAGCTGTAACATAAACCTGTTTTCAAGAGAATTGGCAACTTCCCAACGAACAGGAAATACAAGAAGTACAAATTAAAACTTTGGTCTTAGAGACCATCAGAATGCTTCATAGATAAAGGCATTGTAGCTAAAGTGTTATTAATAATATTGTATAATAACAATAAAGTGTTAATAATAATATAATGTTACTAAGGTGGTTTACTCTATCCCTCGCCTCCTCTTTGTAGAAATCCACAGTAGTACTGGTAGTGCTCTCTACTGCTGCCATCCAATGGTTTCCTGTAACTCTAATGTCCATAGGGCAAAGTATTCTTGTAAAGGAAAAACCAAATGCAAAATCCTTTGAATGCCTCCTGATTTATTAGCATCTCACCAAGAGAATTCAGAATATTGTAGATGCCTCACTTAGAGTCCCGTCAAGACATTATGAAAAGAGGTGACATGATTTGTATTATCGCATGGCTTGCTATGTCTCTCCTCTTTCTCATCACTCTGTCTTTGCTGCCTGATTTAAAGTCAAGATTGCAAACCAGAGTGTTAAATTTCGATTCAGTATCCTGAGAAAAAATGTGATTCTTCCAGCCTTCAGATGGAACATCCTAAAAGTGTCTGCCTCTAACCTTCCTCCTGGATAAGCTGGTTCCTCAGGCTGTCCCAGAATTTCAACCGCTTCCCTCATTTCTTCATTTCAGGGATGAATTTTAATTTTCTGGGGCTTGTGGTGCTATTACCCTTTAGAGTCGAAGCTTAGAGGCAACTATGTTCCTTTCTGTGTCTCTTGTTCATAATGAATGTAATAAAACTCTGCCAATCAGGGAGAATTTTGGAGTCTGTCTCTAGAGGTCTTAGCTTCTTCTCAGTGTTCTTTTACCCCTTGTCTTCCAAATAGCCCTAGTGAACTGTTGGGGTGGGGGGAGGGAAGGGGTTGGGGGAGAACATGACGAGTAATCTTTAATTGGCTGAGACAGGAAGGGGATAAGAGAAGGGGGGGTAGATAAAAGGGAGGGCAGATTAGGAGAAGGGATATTCAGAATGCATGCCATCTCTGGGATGGGGGGAGGGATGAGATGGGAAGAAAACTTGGAACTCAAAATCTTGTGGAAGTGAATGTTGACAACTAAAAATAAATAAATTAGCTAAAAAATAAGTGGCCAAGGCAGAGAGTGACACCCTGTACGCCACATGAGTCTTGAGAGAACCATCCTCACATACTGTTACTAATGTACTAGTTTTTTGTGGTTTCTCTCCTCTGATGTGACATTGAAAAGGTGATATATCTGGGGAGGGAGGTGGAATTAGCTATTCCTAGAGAATTCCGGCTCCCGTGACTGTTGGGAGAAGCCATAGAGAAGCTTAGAGAAATGCTGGTTAACTTTTCAGAAGCCCCTTGTCCACTTCAATCAGCAGGATTAACCTCTTAGAGCTGTGATTTGTTAATTTCCCCCCTTTTTCAATGATAATCTTTGATTTTTGTGTCTTGAATTCTTTAAATAAGTTTTGATTTATTGTTGCTTTAAAAAAAACCGTAAAACCTTTTCTGTTCATTCATTTTCCAGCCTTGTTTTCTTTCAGGTCTTGCTCCTCTCCACCTTCTCCTGCTGTGTTGCTGTGTGACGTTATTCGCCTTTACTCCACCTGCTTCGCTCCCATCTCATCTCAGTCTCCAGCAGTAGACAACTTGATGGCACATCCAACCCTCTCATATGAAATCAACTTGCTTGTTTTTATTTTAATTTGGTTTTGATCCTTTTTACTGTTTGGCAAAAACAATGTTAATTCATGGGCCTTTTTCTTGCTAAACCAAGAACAATAGGAGACTAAGCCAGCGTCATGATCAAATGATGAATAATATTGGGAACTGAATCTTTTCCTTCCTGCTGCAAGGTGGTGGTTACCTTTTGATTGTATACATGTGGAAATGTGTGTGCATGTGCCTGTGTGTGTGTGTGTGTGTGTGTATGCATGTGCACTGGCACATGTAAGCAAACACACCGGGCTATTTGTTCAAAAGAGGATGTGAAAAAAAAAATCATGGGGTAATATACAGGGGCTCAGAACTGCCTCTTCATGCTTCAGACAAACCTGAATATGTACTAAGAAGGGCGAGGACTTTCCATGATGAAAAAGGGGGAAATGTTCCAGTTTTTTGATGCCAGATATTAAAACTTTGCAATGAGAAAGGTGCAAGTGTTCACAGCCTAAGAAAGTGTTTGATGTACAACAGGCTATGGTGGTATTCATTTAATTCTCCTTGATCCTACAGTGAAATATTTAAATGTGTATGAGGTTCTTTCTCGGAGCCAAGTTTAATAAGCTCTCTTTGTCCCTTTTTCCTTGTTCTCTGCTCCCTCTACTTTTTACACACAAAGTACAGTGGGAAGGGGGTGAGCATCGTAGAGCTAAGGGTTGAACAGATGTTCAAAGTCTCACTTTTATAAGAATCGTTGGCTTCTGAATGAACCCGCCAACGGTGGTCTTGGCCAATGTATAAATTTCCCTGCTTCCATTCAGTGGCTTCTGTGTCCTGTCTATTTTACAGGAGGTCCCAGGTAATTGAAAAGTTTGAGGCCTTGGATATTGAGAAGGCTGAACACATGGAGACCAACTTGTCAGCTGGCCCCATGCTGTCTAGTGACACTCGCCAGGGCCGAAGTGAGAAGAGAGTTTTCCCCAGGAAGCGGGTAAGCCCCCTTGGATTCTCTCTGGCTAGCCGCTGCTGGTTCTGGGGAAGCTATGCACAGTGGTGAGACTTTATGTGGCTCCTGACTGGCTAAAAGGAACCTCAGATGGCTACACCCAGGGCTAGATGCTTCACATACAGATCCAGATGGTATCCCAAAAAGTTGTGCTAAACATCTTTCTTCTTGATACTGACTAATCACCAGTGATGAGGCTAGATGAAATGCCTCTTTCCCGTCTTCTTTGAAAGACAGCTGCTTCCTAGTCTCACTCCTTGTTCCTCCTTTTATAAGGCCATCCACCTACTAATTTTACTTATCCAGGGTGGCAGCTGTCACCCTACCTGAGACATTCCTGTATTTTCGGTAAAATATAAAGAAAAAGGAGATGAGAATACATTTTCTAGTTGGTGTCTTCCAAAGCCCTCATTTCTACTTCTCCCATATCTTTCTTCTTCTTCCTGTTACCATGTTGACATGAATGTGAACCGCAGAGGACTTGACCTGGCTCTGAAATTTTCTGCCTATTTCCACATTTTCCTACTACCACGAGATAGTTATATTCTTTCTGTGAATCTAGGAAGCCCTTGATGTGAGAATTGGTGGGCGTGGGGAGGTTAGAGAGGGGTTTGTGTGGACTAGAAAAGAGGTTCGAGAAAAGTGATGCTGGATACATCTCAGTGAAAAGTCTTGCTCTAAAAGTGAGCTAAGTTGGCTTCTGCAGGCGTTTTCAGAACCCACAGCCACACAAGGTCATATAGGAGGGGAAGCTGGGTGTCCTCATCCCACCCCTTTCGTGCTTGAGAAGCCTATAATCTTCTGCTGAAAATTCCTTCTTTGTTTCATTGACTTCATCCTAAGCAGAGGCTTTATAAATGAGTTCAAGGGTTGTCCTCAAGGTCTTCAGCCCGACTCTGCAGCTTCCTTATGAGTTTGGGTTATACTGACTGGAGGCTGCTCTCTGCCACAGGACTGTACCACAGAAGCTATCGCCCCCACCGCTGGCTCCATCCCAGATGTTTCAGCTTCTCCCCTGTCTCCGCATCGAAGAGCCAAGTCACTGGATAGAAGGTCCACAGAGTCCTCCATGACGGTGAGCCCAGTTTGTCCTGGCCTTCTGCATTCCACAGGACCGGGCAACATGGAAGTGAGGTTTCAAGACACAAGGTCCCATCTGTTTCTGTTCACAATTATTCCTTTTCTGTTTATTCTCATTTTAGGGCCGGACATCTTCTCTCCATTCTCTGGCACCTTGTGTGTACATGCATGTGCCTTCACATCTGTACTGATTGTACACCAGGGCTCTGTTTGGAGTGAATTGAAACAGAAGGCTCTCCCACCCTCGCCCCTCATGCCCTCTATTTTTTTTTTTAAATTTTGCTCTAGTCTTTGGGACACTTGAAACACTATTTCTCTAATCCCTCTCTTTTTTTGTGCCTACAAAAAGGCAGAGGAGGCCTAAGGCACAACTTAATGGGGATCTCTGGGAAAAGTTTCCCTGTAGATATGGGCCAGCTACGCTGTAAGAGTGTCTGAATAAAATCAGGACTCTGGGGACTGGTCATCTACAGAGGACCTTGGCTTCTCCATCTATCTTCCTCTAATGTTGTGATTTTTTAAAAATCATTTTGAAGCAGCATCCATTTTTATCGGATTTTGTTTCTGTAGAAAATGGCTTTCTTGTCTTCCTAGAGTGAGTCTTGCTTTAGGGCACAAACCAGATCCGTGCTTTGGGTAGTTCGTAGGCATTCTTGAGAATTTCTTAGTGAAACTTTTGTTTCATTGTTCTATATATCTTGTCTATCCCCAGCTGTTCTCTCCTCTGCTTGCTATTAAAAGTGGATAGTCTCGATTTAGTCAGGGTCTCTGATCACAGTGGTTCCAGGGTGAAACAGAAAGGAATGGTGAGGCATTGGGCTGGAGAAGAAAACTAATTTCTCAAACAGGGACCAATCATTCTGAGACCTCCACTCCTTTTCATTTTTTTTTTTGACCAATAATTAGATTCTTGAATTCATGGAATGATACATCTGACATAAGTGTCTCAGTTTCTACCACTCAGGGGCTGTTTTCTCCTCTACTCTCATCTCAATTCTAGTTACTTTGGGATAATTATTTAGAATCTTCACTCTTATGATTTGGGATAAACTAAGTGCATATGGAAATGGAGACATAGAATGGGAGCTTTGGTTTTTACCTTCCATTTTAACTCTCGAGTTTGAAGTACTCGAAGATGGCCTCAGCAAGCTCTCATACCATCTCTTGCTTTATGATTTCCAGAGAACAGCTCCTTCCTTGGCCTCTTTAAGCTGTCCTAACAGTTGCAGTGAAAAGTATCAAAATCCACTTCCTAATAGTGGAGGTTGGGGTCTTAGTGCTTCTGCAATGTATGGAATTTATAGACAAAGTAAGTGTGCTGGCCTGGTCAGAAGGAACCTATATGTTGCAGGGAGGGGGCCAGAACGGTGAAGAATTAAGGCAAATCCAAAAGACAGGATCCTCACATATTCTGTTCTTTTCCTTAATCCTAATCTGACAAGAACTAGTATGTGCAAAAGTCCAAATGAAGTGGAGAAAATAAGGAAAGACAAGGACTCTTTTAGGTGCTTGAATCCTATCTTCTAAATCTATGTGAAAGTCCTAGGAGCACTAGGATTTTGTCTATTACATGATAGACATTCAAGAAGAAAAAAAAAGGCTGGAAGAATTATCCTATCACTTAGTTTTGATTTTTCCAACTATGCAGTCTATTCCTAGTTTATAGGGAAACAAGTAAATAAGAAATGATCTTAATTGGTCAGCCACAAGGTCATTCTGGGGAGGTCACTGCTATCATTAAGTAATGAGTTTTGCTTAGAAAATCAGTGCTGTGCCTGTTCCTTTTGTTGGAGATGACAGATTTTCTTCTCTGTCCCCACCAGAGATATTACCTCTTTCCGACTGAAATGGAATCACTTTGTGTTTTAAACCTGGGCTTTTGTGACTCTTTGCCACCTTCATATAGTTCACATTGAAGAACAAATGTTTTTGTCCTGGGATCTCTCTCTCAACCTCATCACTTCCAACCTAGTGTGTAGAGGTCTTACTTAGGAGGAAGTGATTCTGTCCTCTCCTGAGGAGTAGTTCAGAGCTACTCACCTCTGCTGCTGCTACTACACGTACAAAGAACTGGAGGGGGGGATGATCAAGTCCACTTCCATCATGACCACTCTGAGCACAATTTCTCCCTGTTTTCTGAGGAGTTTGTCCAGTGTCTCGTTATGGAACGGAAAGCAACATAAGCAGTATTGTTGGGTACCAGTACAGTTACGCAGAACAAAACCCTCTTTTACTCAGCATCCTCCCAATAGGAAGAGATGCTTGTCACCTAATGTAGAGCACTTCTGCTCCTAACATTTGCCTTCTTGCAAGGGATGAAATCTCTTGATGCTGTCCTGTAATTCTTTCTCATTCCTTTTCATAGCCTGACCTACTGAACTTCAAGAAAGGCTGGCTGACCAAGCAGTACGAGGATGGCCAGGTGAGTTTAGTGCCTGCTTGGCCAGGAGTTGAGTCAGAGCATGGATCTGTTAAGGAAGTATCAGTATCTTCTTTCTCTGTCCCCAAACTTCCATTAGTCTAATTGAATATTTTTACTACTGATCCATCTGACTGAGAACCTCAGAGGGAAGAGGTCTATGCCAACTACTCTTTGGAGGAACCTGGGGGGGCGGGGGAGGGTGTACATATACATACGCATATACATACATATACATGCATGCATATATATGTATATATATGTATATTTTTCCCCCCAGGTAGCTGCTTCCTGCAGGATGCCCAAACCTGCCCCATTTGCTCCCAGAAATAAGGGACTTGGTCCCAAGGCTGCATTTTAAGGCACCATACCCTAGTTGCCTCTGAGCAGCCTTTAAAAAAAATATATGTATATATTTTTAAAGCCTTTTTTCAAAAAAAAAAAAAGAGCCTTTTTTCCCCCTCTAGATTTATTTTGTCATTTTCACCCTGTCACCATTCTAAACCCTTCTCAGGCTTTCCTTCCTAAGAGCTATCCATGGCACTGGTGAAATGGACTTTTTGCCTCATATCTCTGTTGAACTATTTCAGATGAATGAGTGTTTTCCTGTTCTCAAATGCATTTGATATCGCACCTGTCTTTTCAGTTGGAAAGCTCCAGATATATTAAAAAAATTTTTCAGAAAGTTTTTGCCTAATTAATCTCTCTTTCCCCCTACCCTTTCTCCTCATTGACTTAAATCACTTAATACATATTATCTCAGTCCAGCAAAACAAATTCCCACATTATTGAGCAGCCTTTTTAGAAGGTCCCTGTGGGCTTTTGGTTTCCTTAGTGGAAGACGTGTATCATTGGGTTAGTTTTGTTGCTTTCAACTTTTCATTAGTCTATTTGAACAAAGCACCTCTGGCATCTGCCTCCCTCGCAGTGGAGTGGAGAACACTCCTGAGCAGCTTGAATCCCAAGTGGAGAAACATGAAATGAAAATGATTGCATTGGAGTTCTGATGGAACTTGCCTATTTCTCCTTCTTCCCTCTTCCCCAAGCAGTAAAGCTGAGTGGTGCCATGGATGAAGCTCTGGGCTTGGAGTCAGAAAGACCTGAGCTTCAGACACTTACTAGTTGTATGACCCTGGGAGAGTCACTTAACCCCTATCTGCCTGTTTCCTCACCTGTGAAATAGAGGCAGTATTAGCACCTACTTCCCAGGGTGGTTGTGCAGGTCAAGTGAAATAACGTTTGTAAAGCGCTTTGCAAACCTTAAAGCTCTATATAAATGCTGTGACTGCTATTATTATTGTTGCTACTACCTCTACCACCACTACCACTACCCTCAAACCCATTCAGCCTATACAGGAACTACTGACCTGAAGATGGGCTCGTGTTAATGCCTGTGACAATTTCCCAGCCTCTGCTTTACATTTCACGTCCTTGCAGTGACCTCCCTGGGTGGTGGGGAGAAGGGGGAGCTTTAGGGAACTAGGACCCACCAGGTAGCAGTGAATTATGGTTGGCTAACGTTCCACCAAAGGGCGCTCTGAAGGTTCCTACCAGCCCCAGAATCTACTTCTTGTTTCCTGAATGACTTCCCAAAGGTCATCTTGCTCTTTTCTCTTTCTCCTCCATATCCAATCCCCTTGGTTTTGCGTGAAGATCCGAGTTTCCCTCATTGCCACCCACAGTGAAGACTTGGGAACTTAGCTGGTTAGTTTGCTGCTTATTGGCTGCAGGCGTGAGAAAAAAAAACAACCCAAAACACAACAAAACAGGTGTCCATCTCATTAGCCAGCCAGGTTTGACCACTCAGGACCACCTGTCACCTTTCCCAGGCTTCATCGGTAGGAAGCCTTAATTATGAGGCCTCTGATAGAAAATCGATTGAGGGCAGCAATGCAATTGGGCTGTGTTCACCAAGCACCCAACACTGTGGAGTCTGGAGAGAGCCCTGCCACTACAAGCCCAGCTCTTGGCTTTCTGGGTTGGCTTTTCACTGGAGAAGCTACAGCTTCGCAAGTTGTCCTGACATAAATGCATGGCTGCTTGGAGCCTAAGCAGTATCCTCTGTGTTCCACCAGTCACTGGGAGGGGCCAGAGCGTCATTCGCTTTACCTGTGCTCATGGGAGGCATTCCAGGGGTTATACTTTCTCAGCTGCAAACCAGGCAGGCAGAGTGAGATCCCTGAAAAGTATTCATGTATCCTTTTAAATTTTTTTTTATTTAGTGGAAGAAACACTGGTTTGTCCTGGCAGATCAGAGCCTGAGATACTACAGGGATTCAGTAGCTGAGGAGGTGAGCATCTCCCGTTCCACATTTATTCCAGAGTTAGCTGAGTGAATTCAGATTGAGTAAATCCAGGGGTGTCTAGCTCTCAGTGATTCTGCTTTCTTCTTGCCTCAAATTCCTTCCTTTGTTAATTGAAGGGTGCTAGCGTATGTTGTCTTGTGTTTCCAGATCCTGTTGGGAAAGTTTGAGTACAGTGAGATGCTTTTGATGTTCTTGTTAAATGCTTTCCTGCCTCTGATGTTTAGCTTTTAGAAGACTCCGCCTAAGAGAGATATGTATATGATGTGGCTCACCAGCTTTTCTCTGTTCTTTGGAAAATGTTAGGTAAAAAGCTCAGGATGAACGGTCCAGTATGTTTTCTTTATGACGAGATAGTTTTAGCATGCTGAACTCCAAGAAAAAAGAGTTCGGTATTTCCTATTGTTACCTGGATAAACAGGGCAGCTAGGCAGTGGAGTTGATAGAAGGCTAGGTCTAGAGTCAAGAAGACTCTTCTTCTTGGGTTTAAATATGACCTCGGACCCATAATAGCTGTGTGACCCTGGGCAAGTCACTTAACCCTGTTTAATATCCATTTTATCATCTGTAAAATGAACTAGAAAAGGAAATGGCAAACCACTCCAGTATCTTTGCCAAAACACAGACAAACAAAACAAACAGACCCAAAGATTTGACTGAAAAATGACTGAGCAGCAACCTGGATAAACGCATGATAAATCATATTCACTTTGCCCACTTGATAGGCTCTTGAGCCCACAGTGGCCACAGTTCAAGACCAGACAGAAATGGCTCTTGATATGAACTTTTTCCTTAAGTTTTGGGGGGAAACCCCCCCCCCAACTATTTTAAATAAACCTGACCGACATAGGTGGTACCCTTTATGATTCTTTCTTTTCTTTTCCAGGCGGCTGATTTGGATGGTGAAATTGACCTGTCTACCTGCTGCAATGTCACAGAATATCCAGTCCAGAGAAACTATGGCTTTCAAATCCATGTAAGCAGAACAAGGGCCAGGAAAGAGCTCAGCTCACAAATTCTTAGGGTCATAGATTCAGAACCATTTGGAGGAAAGGGACCTCAGAAGTCCTCAAGTTCAACACCCTCATCTTGTATAGGAGGAGGTGGAGGTATAGGGAGTCTGAGGGGACACAGCTGTTGAGGGAAGTGAGGTCGGATCCCAGGACCTTCTGACTCTTGAGTTGCTGTGCCCACAACACAGTTGTTAGAGAGGAGAGATGGGATGAAACAGAATGTGGAAGACTTTTTGTTAAATGGACCACCACCATCTACCTTCTCAGTAACTGGTTTCAGAAAATTGAGTACATCTCTGTTCTCAGGATAATTCATCTTCCTATGAAATACTATACTTTTTTTGGCTGAGGGTTTAAGCAATGAGGTTAAGTGACTTGCCCAAGATCACATAGCTAGTAAGTGTCAAGTGTCTGAGCCAGATTTGAACTCAGGTCCTTTTGACTCCAAGGCCAGAGCTCTATCCATTGCACCACCTAGCTGCCCCAATATTATACTTCTTTAAGGAGAGATTATTCTGGCCCCCAGTTTGTTGCTGTAATTCTTCCCATAGTGCGAATTATGGAGAAAAATCTGATGCCTCCCAATCAGTATTCTCTGTTGTCATTGGTATTTATCACTGCCTTCACTGCTTCTGTTACTTTCCATTATCACCCAGTTGTCCCTTCTTTTCTGTTATTCCCTCCAGTTCTAATCTGAACAAAGAATAGTTGTACTTGTATTTTCTGTTCTTAAAAGCATGGAAATCTTATTGAGGATCTTTTGCAAGAAGCATGAGGATCTGAGATGAAATTGTTGAGAGCCACTGATCTATGCACCAATGGACTAAGGCTATTATGGACAGCTAAGTGGTAGAGTGGATAGAGTACCAGCTCTGGATTCAGGAAGACTCTTCTTCCTGAGTTCAGATTTGGCCTCAGACAGTTGCTGGCTGTGTGACCCTGGGCAAGTTACTTAACCCTGTTTGCCTCAGTTTCCACACCTGTAAAATGAGCTAGAGGAGGAAATGGCAACCCTCTCAGTATCTTTGCCAAGAAAACCCCAAACAGGGTCATGAAGAGTCAAACATTGACTGAAAACAACTGAATAACAACAACAAACTAAGGCTAATTTGTCAATTCATTCAGTGAATATTCTGTGAATAAGACTTGATCTCTACCCTCAATGAGTTTGCAACCTATAGGAGAGAGAAGTTGTATTTACAGATATAATTATGATAAAAGAGAGTATGTGATAAGTAAAATATGAGAATTATACAGAAAAATAACTTGGGTGAGGAATAATAATAGTTGACAATGATATGACACTTAAACATTTCCAAACAGATTTATGTTATTTGATCCCCACAGTATCATACTGCGAGGTGGGTATCATTATTATCATCTCCATTTATTTTATAGGTGAGTCAGCTGACAGAGAGGTTAAAAAGTCTTTCCCAGGGTCACGCAACTAAGGAAGTCTTGGAATTAGAATTGGAATCCATCTGGCATTCAAGTCCAAAATGGCTTACTTGTGACTGGTGTGATGAGGGAAAGGCTCACAGAAGATGTGGGATTCTGTTAGTTGTGAACGTAGAGTATTTTAAGAAGAGGTAATAATGTGAGTAGTAAAGCCAGAGCATAAGCACAAAATTTATTTTAGGTATAGTAAGTTAGAGCAGTTTAGCTGTATGAAAAGGAGTGTAAAGGAAGATAAAAGCTGAAAAGGAAAGTTGAGTGGAGTCTGTGAAAGCCAAACTTAATGAGGTTGGATTTTATTCTCAGGCATGATACGTTAATAAACGTATTTAAGCAGGGAAGTGATGATCAAAACTGTGCTTTAGGAAGATTAAGAAAATAGTCATGCATCATGGAATGAAATATGGGGAAAAGGCTTGAAACAGAGATTGGACTATTGCAATAGTCCATATTAGAAGTATAATAAAATTTGAACTGTGGTGTTAATAGCAGGAATGGAAAGGAGGGAGAGCATCTTAGAGACACTTCAGATAAAGAATTGAGAGAATTTAGCAGTTATCTTTTTCCTCTGTTTTATTCCCCATAGAAAAACAAGTGGTATTTCAGGTTGTGGTCATAGGAAGAATGGTGGTATCATTAATAGAAATGGTGAGTTGGGGAGATTGTTTTCTCTGAGAAGGAAGATTATGACTTTAATTGTGAATGTGTTGAGTTTAAGATCCTGGTAGAAAAGTCTAGTGGGTAAGACAGGTCTGGAAATATAGGTCTGGAGCTTGGGGAACTAGGAAATACAGGTCTGGAGCTTGAGGAACAGTGTTTAAGGAAAGAGAGAGTGGAAGGATTTGGGAATTTGAATAGATATTTTGATATTTGAAGCTGTTGGAGTAGATAACAAATGTCACTCAGTGAGGATATTGGAAACATGAAAAGAGGACTGAGGACAGAGCTATAAGGAACACTGTCATTTAGAAGGTGAGTGGGAGGGCGGGGAAGGCATTTAGAAAGGCAGCAGTAGGAAAATCAGGATAGGGAAGCAAGAAGAGATGTTCAAGGTGGTGTTCAATGGTGTCCATATTGTAGGGAGATTGAGGAAGTACTGAGTTTTCACTACCATCTTATATATAAATAGAAAAATTGACAGGAGGAAAAACAAATTTTAAAATGAATTCCATCAGGAGAGAGTTGATAAGACAGCAAGATAAGTCTGGCCATGTCAACTATAGACCAGATTTATAGTTTCCTTTCCTTTTCTTTTCTTTTCTTTTTTTTTTTAAGGCAATTGGGGTTAAGTGACTTGCTCAGGGTCACACAGCTAGTGTCAAGTGTTTGGTCTGAGGCCAGATTTGAACTTAGGTTCTCCTGACTTCAGGGCCGGTGCTCTATCCACTGTGCCACCTAGCTGCCCCTATATTTTCTTTAAGAGGAGGGAGAAATATCTGATGTTTTAACCTTTCTCTTTTAGTGAGTGTTAGTCGGCGTCTCAACATAGCGACTGAGGAGATGAATTTTCAGCTTTGGCTTTGTCGTACACGCCAAACTGGATTTAGCATTTACGTTGGTGGCTTCTGTCTGTTTTTGTACCCATCTCACAACAATCATTCTGTCTTTTCGCGTTAGCCAGTTTTCCAGGTGGACTAGAAGGTTAAAGTCTTTCTTTTTATCACTTTTTAAAGTATCTTGTTTGAATTAGAATAAGAACATAAAGGTGAGGAATCAGGAAAGGATAAATCCACTTCAGTTCCATGAATATCAAACATCAACTTTGTGTAGGCTTCTTGTGTCTGCTGGCCCTATCACTCCCCTGCTTAAGAAGCTCCTGTGTGGCTCCCTCTTGCCTCTGGGGTAAAGTCTAATCTCCTGTTTGGTTTTTAAAATCCTTCACTGTTTGAGTCCAGCCTGCCTCTCTGGGCTTTTTGCACTTTCAACTCCTTTACTCGCCCTGTGTTCCTTCCCCGCAGGCCTGGTTGTTGCAGCTCATACACAAGAGCACACTCCAATCCCTGTGCCTAGAACACACTTCCCTCCTCCCCTCCCCCTCACCGAGTCTTTCTCCATTGAGACTCAGTTCCAGTGTTCCCTCCTGTGGTAGATCTTTCCTGATTTTCCCCAGTTGCTAATTCTCCCCTGTTGGGAAATTTCTTTATTTTCACTTTGAATATGCTTTTTGTTTAGTTTTCTATGTACATATTGTTTCCCTCCAATAGAATGTAACCTCCTTGGGGGCAGAAATGGTTTCATTCTTATCTTTGTATCCCTGGTGCGTAGTCCATGATGGGCACTTAATGCGTCCTCAGTGAATGAGAGCACAGTGTACTAGGCCCTGGTGATACCGAAGAGAAAAAACATGCTAAATCTGCTCTCAGGGAATTTGCGTTGTAATGGGGAGGAGGGAGGGGGATGGATGCAACTTGTAAACAAAAAAAGTGTCATAAAAGCTAGAGCATATGAGGGGAAAAGGAGAGATCCAGCTATGTGCTATGAAAAATTTGAGGAGGGGAGATCATTTTTCTCTGGGAAGGCTTCGTTCATGGATGACGTCAGACCTGAGCTCTGCGTAGAAAAAAGAGGATTTCAGCAGGCGCATGAGGAGTAGAGAAGAGGATAGAATGTGTAGGGTGTGGAGCCGGGAGTGGGTGTTTCTGAATAGCCTTATTGACTGAATTTCCAGGGGAGGAAGAAGAGCCCAGGACTACATTGGGAAGCAGCTTCTCATTCATATTGACACAGAAGTAGACTCCATGAAGGGAGTAATGTCAATAATGATAGAAAGATAGCTTCAGGGGCAGCTAGGTGGCACAGTGGATAGAGCACCAGCCCTGAAGTCAGGAGGACCTGAGTTCAGATCCCAGCCTCGGACCAAACACTTGATACTTACTAGTTGTGTGACCCTAGGCAAGTCACTTAACCCCAATTGCCTAAAAAAAAAAAAAGAAAGAAAAATAGCTTAGAACCAGCTCACAGACAGATGCCATGTGTTAAAGGTTATATTTTCTCTTGTAGGCACCAGGGAGCTTGAAAATTTTTTGAGCAAGTGGGTGACATGGTTAGAACAGTGCTTGAGATTTTCCTAATGAACTACTTTTTGACGGATGCTGACTCTGCTCTGATGGAGCCAGATGATAACCTAATCCCATTCCAACAACATGCACAGTTAAACAGAAGGCTGTAAAGGCTGGTTGCATTTAAAAATATACATTGGTCATGGCCATGTATTTTGAAGCTGATCTTCAAGATAGACTGCCTTTAGAGGTCTGAGACTACGAACCTTATTGGTAAAGTCTCCCTTTAGACCCTGACTACAGTTGTCCAAATCCATTTCAAATGATTCCCATAGAGAAGGGAAGACAGAATTTTGAGCAACATTTTGATGCATCTTTATGTTGTCATCATTGATTAGGTATTTATTGTGTTCTGTCTAGACAAAAGAAGGAGAGTTCACTCTGTCTGCCATGACTTCTGGAATTCGACGGAATTGGATCCAGACCATCATGAAACATGTACACCCAACCACTGCCCCAGATGTCACTAGGTAAGTATATTAAAAATATCCCCAGAGTTCTTTTAGGTATTCTTCCATTCTCTTCCCATTTAGCTTCCTCTTTCCCTTCTTTTTTCATTTTTCGCCCCAGGGGTGAGGAGGGTGGCAGGGCTACTTCGTTATCAATTTCAAACAAACTTGGCTTTCCTTCCTCTCCTTCATTCATGTTCTCTTACTGGTCATTTCCCATGTTGGGTTGCATGGTGTCTCTGCTGGTATTTTTTTTTTTAACTATTTAAGGGGTTCTTAATCTCATTTTTTAGTGCTTCATTTGGTTGAAGGTGGTATTCATACTGTCAGCTGCATTGCTAGCTCTAAGTCTGTTTACATCTTTCTCCCACATCAGGAAGAAAGGAGGTGACTCTCTTTGGCTATTGCAATCTGGTTGAACCAGAGGCAAAAAGCATCTTAGAATTTTTTTCTCTTAGAATTCTCTCTTCTCCTCATTCCTGAATCTCTTAATTTTCATGCAACCAGGAAAAACGTCTATTTGAATCTCTCGGTGCTGAAGCCCAGGTTGGAAAACTGTGTTCTCTCCTGTTTTAACATTTTGTGGTTTGTATATCTCATGATTCACTGCATGTCTTCCCTTTCCTGCATTTCAGGTCAAAAGCCAGCAGTTTTCCTTTATTAAAAGGTGGGAGGTGAGAAAGGGGGAAGAAAGAGACAGCAGAGAAACTTGATTCATTGGTATACACACATATATACATCTACCTAAATATCTAGAAAATATGTATGTGTGTATACACACACACACACACACACACACACACACACACACACACACACACACACACACAGAGTCTTCTACCCATCACTCTTTTGTACCAATTGTGATTCCAGAGCCATCTCTCACATGGATATCTTCTGATGCAAATAGGTCTAAAGATAAGGGCAATGACAGGAGCCATAATTGAGATCTAAAAAATATCAGTATTTAAAGTTTATCCTTAAACTTCCTTTTCTAATAGGAAATTTGAAAGTAGACTATAAGCTTAAGTATTCAAATTTGAAATATTCAGTGTGTGAACCTACAGCTTTGAAGTAGATACATAACTAGTCTCCTTGTTGATATTTTCTTCTCTTACCCCATCCCCCACAAAGAAAAGTTCCTTCTCATAACCCTTCTAGCTGCCTCTCTTATCCAACCAAAAATCCTTTAGAATCAGGAAGGAACAGAGGAAAAATGAGAGGGTTTTTTTTTAAGGAGTTAATCATTTTCTAACATATCAATCTGCATCATTTCTATTGTTTCATTGGCCTGAAAAAGATGGATTGTGCTGGGTCTATGACATTAGATCTGTGTATCTCTTGGACTCCCTCAGTGACCTTTTTTTTTTTTTTGGCTCAGTGGCACAATGCAATTCCAGTGATTGGATTCTGACGTGGATCTCTGGGAAGCTAGGTGTTAGAAGAAAGGTTTTATAAAGATGACGCTTCACTCATTACTTCTCAGCACCAGCAGAATCCTTCCACTCTCCTCAGTGTTAAATAGTCAATCAGTGAGCATTTATTAAGCCAGGCCTGAAGAAGCAGTTAGTTTGGCTTCTTTACCAAGACTGCCAACATAAAAATCCAGCTGTGATGGCTTTCTGGGGGTAGGATCCTATAGGAATTCTGTATGTGTTTGAGTGTATGAGGTAGACTGAAAGTGTGGCGACGTATGACGTAGACTGAAAGTGTAGCAACGTTGTTTTCCTAGTCTAATATGATGCTAAGAAATTTGGTCTTGATTTGTTAGCTTTTAGGGAGCCCTTCAATGTTTTTGAGCAGGGAAATGGTTTCATCAGAGTTGTGTCTTAGGAATCGTCTGTGGGATGGATCGGAAAGGGTGGAGTCTGAGGACCAGTGACTTTTGTAATTTCTAGGACACTGGTAAGGCTAATCTAGAGTTATCTTGGAATTTTTGTTTGCAAAGGATTTTATCCATATCTGCTCACTATGTCCATGTAAAACAGGTCAGAAGATGCAAGGATTTAACGTATAGATAGCTAAAAGGGTATGGCTAACTTCGGGCAACTTCACCTTTTGAGGGGCTTTTAAAGAGAATGGACAACATATTTTTTGTCTCCCCCTACAGGGTAATATTATTCTATACTAATTGTATTCTTCTGAGTTATCTTTACTGCTGGGCTATTTCTGAATAGTACAAGGTTGGTATGCATGAGTTCTGTGTAAAGGTCTTTATTAGCCATTTAATCTACAAGTATAATATTTTAATGTTTTCCTTTTAACTTAAAAACGTCAAAAGGTTTTTTTTCTTTGCTACTTAACTGCTGGGATTGTATGGTGTCCTCTGTGGATATAATTATGGCAGAATTTCTATAAGAAATTTCAGGGACCCATTGATCATCTCTTCATACCTTTATAGTCTTTGTGAGACTAGACAGTGTCATCTGATCCCAGAGGATCTCTTAGTGGGAATGTCATTTTCTTGGGCCTTCCCAGTTAGCATTTCATGACCAAGTAGGGTGGAATACTGATAACTGTACTTCAGGTTAGTTCAAACTCATCCCAGGTAGGCTAGAATCATGGGGATTTCTATAAATTAATGCATCTACCCATGGGCTTTCTGTACTTAAGAAGAGTAACCTTTATTTTCTGTTTTCCATATGCCTTGATTATTCAAAAATAGGCTTCTTTAAGGGTGAAACTGAAGAGACAGCAAAAGCCCACAGTGCCAGCTGCTAAAAATGTCATTGCATTAGGATACTCTTTGACCTTTCCTGACCCCCAGGGACACTGATGGCAATATGCCCTAGGCCATTCTGATGTCTCCTGCAGAAAATAAGAAATTAAGTGTCCATTGCAACAAAAAACATCTTGGTTTCACCTCTAAAAAAAAAAATTAGGGGGCAGCTAGGTGGCACAGTAGATAGAGCACTGGCCCTGAAATCAGGAGGACCTGAGTTCAAGTCCAGCCTCAGACCAAACAGTTGACGCTTACTAGCTGTGTGACTTTGGACAAATCACTTAGCCCCAATTGCCTAAAAAAAAAAATTATATAATTAGAGAGTTGGATGGAGCCTAAACATTTCACTTTTCTTCCCTCCTCTCCTTCCCCCACCCCAGCCCCCAGGCTTTGGGGTAGAACAGTAATTAAATTGTTTCATATAGGTTAGGTAGCTAGCCTCTTAAACATCTCCGTAACTTAACTTTGTCTCCTTGCTTCCATTTGGCTTGATCCTTAAGAATAGGTATCTTTGTATCTATCCTCTACCCTGGCACTTAATCTTGTTTTCTTGTGTTCTGTCTGCCACTAAAAATAGTTAACATCACATTTAACGAACCTGCAACTTAACAGAGTAGAAGGGCTGTTTCAACTCTGCTGTTGGAAGACTCCAAGTTAGGAATTTGCTCTTGGTTATTTGCTGTGACCTATTCTTTGATCAATCCCAGTTGAACTGTAAGATTTGCCTTTTTCATAATTAAAATTCCTTCTCCTCCCTGTATTTATTTCTTTGAAGGGACACCATGTGTGTGTGTTTCCAAATAGCAAGGGATAAATAGGTCAACTTCTACCCCTTTTTCCACAGCCAAGATCAGTTTTGGGTGATCATGAAGGAACTGAAAGATGCTGAAAACAGGAGGTTTTTTGTTTTTTGTTTTTTAATTCTTATTTTGTAACCTAAAGCTGGAACTGTAGTGGAAATAAGAAATAGTGAAAGTACCTTAGGTTGAGTGATTTTGTTTGCCACTTAAATATAGCAGCATCTTTAACTTTAGCATCTAGAGCATGAGTAATGGTGAGGACAGTTGGCACTGTGAGAGTGCCTGACTGATATATACTTTCCTTATGTTTTGTTTCAAATAGCTCATTGCCAGAAGAGAAGAATAAAACCAGCTCTTCCTTTGAGACCTGCCCAAAGCCAAGTGAGAAACAGGATGTGGACCAAGCTGAGTTGGATCCTGAGCAGAAAAGGAGTCGTGCCCGGGAAAGGAGGCGAGAGGGACGTTCTAAAACCTTTGACTGGGCTGAGTTTCGCCCTATCCAGCAAGCCCTGGCTCAGGAAAGGGCCAATGCCGCAGATTCCTCTAAGACACGAGAACCTGGGAGTTCAGAAATGGACCTAACGGACTTGGAGAAGGAGCGTGCGCGGCGGAGAGAAGAGCGACGTAAACGCTTCGAGATGATTGATTCTGTTGATGGGCCAAGTGCAGATGACACCATCTTACGGATGGAGGTGGACAGGAGTCCGGTCTTACCAGTGGCCACAGAGCTGAAGCCACAGAATGTCCACGTGGAGATTGAGCAAAGATGGCATCAGGTGGAGACTACCCCTCTTCGTGAGGAAAAGCAAGTGCCCATTGCTCCTTTACACCTGTCTTCAGAAGACGGCAGTGACCGACTCCCAACACAGGAGCTAACCTCCTTGTTGGAGAAGGAGGTAATATTTGTTGGGGTGAGAGAGAGGGAAGGGCCTCTTTCTAGAGAGCTGGACACTGGGATAACTTTTCCCGTTTGTCATAAGGGAACCTCTTGGGCTGTATTGTCCTTGAAAAGAAGATTGCTGCAGGGCCATGTGAGACATGGCCCATAATTTCCCTCATCTTTTATCAGTGTGGGTCTGATTTGGTTTGTTTTTATTTGGTTTAGAAAACCATTTTCATTCCATCTTGTAGATGCTACCAGAAATTGGCTTTCTCCAAGATGGGAAGGAAATGATGCCATTTACTAGTCTAGTATAATGTCTTATTAAAAAGGTTTCCTTTTGATTTTCCCGAAGGGATAGAGTTAATTTTAAGGCTGCCATGAAGGAGAGTCTAAACCTGCTTACTGTCTCTTTTTATTTGAAGTTTAAGAGATGACTAAGAAATTCTTTTTTTTAATTGTGAATTTGACAGACATCAGCTAGCCCAAATATTTCAATATACTAAGAGGATTGTATGTAAAACCACATACAGTTGAATATATTTTACAGGTTGTATATATTAAACACAGAGGTCACAAAACACTTCACCTGTGAGCATTGAGGAGGCTTAGTCATATACTGAATGATGGATTACATTGACTTTTTTCTTCACAAATGGATGACATTTCTTCTGTCTTAGTAAGAGGAAGTGTGACATAGTGGATAGAGTTGGGCCTGGAGTCAAGAAGGCCTGGGTTCAAGTTCCATCCATGAGCATGCTGATTTTGTGGCCCTGAAACAAATCCCCCAGCCCCTTGGTGCCCCTAGGCAACTCTAGGAGACTCTAAGTTACAGAGAAGGTTCTTTTCTCTTTGATAGTAAGTGTCCCTCCCTGGGCACTCCCTATAGTGAAGATATCACACTTCTGATTAAACAAAAGGAGAAAAGCTTGTTTTACAAGCACAAGAGAGAGGTGGGCAACTTGCCTTTTATTTTCCACAAAGATAGTGGCAAATGGCTCTAAATGGAATCAACTGCCTGGTGTCAAGTGTTTGGCCTCATACACAGCCCTCCTCATTCAAACTCTATCGAATGACTGGTTTATGTCAGAGCCCAGGCTGGAAAAGATGGGGAAGTATGTTCCTTTTAGCCATGGGGTACATAACACAGCATCTGCTTCTGGTTGATATCAGTCCATCTGGCTCATTTATTCCTTAGATGCTGCGATCAAAGGAACAGTCAGGTGTATTTACTAAAATTTGTAAATTCTGACAAACACTTGGTTTATCTTTGCAGCACTTGAATCCAGAAATATATTTGTTGGATTTTTCTTGTGCTCATTACTCTGTTTTTGTCTGTTTGGGTTTTTGGTTTGTATTTTTTTCCCCTTGTTCTGGATTTTTTTCTTCTTCCCGACAGCTGGAGCAGAGCCAGAAAGAAGCCTCTGATCTCTTAGAACAGAACCGACTTCTGCAGGATCAGCTAAAGGTGGCTTTGGGTCGGGAGCAGAGTGCCAGGGAGGGATACGTGTTGCAGGTAGGAGAACAGAAGAGGATCTGCTGTTTTCTGTTGTACTCACTGGGCTTCAGTGTAAAGGTGCATATCATTTGTGTCCAGGTCTATTAGAAACGTGCAAAACCTGACCTCTGGAATGTGGCCTCTTTAAACATTTATTTCTTCAGGCCTTCCTCACATATGGGCTGAGGATTTTTAGTCAACATGGTATGAGCTAAAGCCTTGGTTCTATATTCAAGAAATTTACCTGAAATTTAAGAATTTATTTAAGAATTTTTTTTAGAATTTGTGGGGAGAGGGTTCAGTGGAAGGAATATATTTTGAAAAACAGTTGTTCATATCTGGCAGAAACAGGGTTCTCTTTCCTTTTGGCTCTCAGAGTACTCAGTGAATATTTACTATAATAGTTCAACCTAATAAATATTAATTAATTGCCTGCTATGTTCAAGGCATTTAGTATGTGCTGAAGATACAAGGACAAAATGAAAAACAGTTCCTGCCTTCAAGGAACTTATAATCAACCGTGGGAATATAACACGTAAACACACGTTTCTTCTTACCTTCTCAAAATGTTTTTTTACAAACATTATCTTCTTTATCTTCATAATAAGCTGTAAAGGTAGGTAGGTAAGATGGTAGCCCCATTTTTAAGATAAGGAAACTGAGACTGAGAAGCAAAATGACTTCCATGGGGTCAGTGACTAAAGGAGCATAGATAATAAACCAGATGTAATCTGCTGAGGAAGAGTACACGGGGACTATCACTTCCTTTGTCCTGGTCATTATACCTCAAAAACGGCATTAACTTTCTTGCCTACCATGTCACATTTTATTAAACTCAAACCCCCTAGACCTTTTCCAGATGAAATGCCATTCAACCATGCCTTTCCCATCTTGCATTTGTAAAGTTTAATCTTTGAACCTAGGAAGAATAATTTACGTTTTAAAATTAATTAACTCACATTTATTCCTATTAAATGTCATCCTTTTGTTCTTGATACTTAACACGTCATCCGCTGTGTTCACTGTTTCTCCCAGCTTTGTGGGCCAGGGTCAGAAAGCACTTTAGAAACTGTCAAGTACTAAATTGATACGAGTTTTTGAAAGTTCTATAAAGAACTGCTCTTTGTTCCCAGAATACTCTCTCTAGACAAGGAAAGATGATTGCCTGTGAACCATAAAGATTGGTCTTTGGTGATAAGGTCAGCTGGCAGCTGAGGTAGAACCAAAGCAAATAAGAAATATGCCTTGGGACCCTCACATCTCCTCCAGAGGGGGAGAGGTTTGAATGCCTTTTCTCAGAAGTCTTTCTGGTGGCCCTCACTCTTCCTGGGTCAGAACAGCCAGTGTGATGGCCCACCTTTGAGAGAGGCAAATGAGATTTTTGTGATACCAAGTTAGGGTTTTAGAAAGCTTTACTCGGATTCCCTCCGCCACCCCCATGACAGTGCCCCACTGTCTCTTCTCCTTCCCCTCCCCATCCCTGGAACAAAACAGTCATGACTGTTTGTTGACAGGATCCAGATGTTTCTTTGGCCTCAGTTTTTCACTGTTGCCAGCTGTGGCTGCTTTGTGTGGGCTCTGTCACCTCTAGAAGTAGCGTGGCCACTGCTTTTCCTGAGGCAGATCTTCCTGTCTTTGGCTTTCAGCCCTAGAATTATAAAGCAAATACAGCTATCTTCTCTGTATAGTAAAAATCAGTTCCAAATCCCAGCCAAGTACTTAAGTAGAGTATGTCTTCACATGCCTTCTATACAGCCAAGTTCCAGAACAGTCCAGGAATTGGTACAACAGGAATGATCAAACCAGAAAGTGAACCAGCCTCAGATGTAGGTCTAGTGGCACTACTGCTTTCCCTTCTGGGCACATATTTCTTCCTTTGCTTTTCTTCCCTTCTTTCCATCTCCCTTTCTCCCCATTCTCTTGTCCCTTATCTCTTTCCTTCTTCTTCTCCTTTTTGTCTTTTATTTTCTCTTCTCCTTCTCTCCTTTCCTTCTCTTTTTTCCTCTTCTCCTCTTCTTTCTCTCTTTCCCTATTTTCCCCTTCTGCCCTGACTAGTTTGAGCTTGTGGACTGATGGCTCTTTGGACATTCCTCAATCCTGTTTGTAGCTCCCCTTAATGTGATTCAATTCCTTCATTATTCCAGCCCCCTTGAATTTTTAATTTCATGTCCTATACAACCTCGAACCTAGAAATATTTTTAGTTGTCTGTCTCACAGAAATGATACTGAAATCTTCCTTTTTTCAGTCATTTTTCAGTCATGTCTGACTCTTTGTGAGCCCATTTAGGGTTTTCTTTGTAAAGAAATTGGAGTGGTTTGCCATTTCCTTCTCCAGCTCATTTTACAGATGAGGAACTGAGGCAAACCAGGTTAAGTGATTTCCCCAGGGTCACACAGCTAGGAAGTGTCTGAGGCTGGATATGAACTGAGGAAGATGAGTCTTCCTGATTCCAAGTCCAGCACTCTATCCACTGCACCACCTAGCTGCCCCTCAAATCTTATTACGCTGTTCTTATATGGCCTATTTAAAAACCCCAACAGTTTGGGGTTCTAAATTGAACCATATAAATATGTGGGATCACTGCTTGTTAGCTGATAGTGGTATCTACTGACTAACAGCAGATTTTGCACATTGCTTACTTGATAAATGCTCTTTATGGCTAACCTGGATGATTGCATCAATCTTTCACTGAAGCCCCCAGTTTCAGTCCTTGGGTACTAACTTTTCCTTTGATTCATTGCTGTTACTTGTCATGATTTATATAGTGCTTGGAGACTTTTCAAACCCTAACAGGAGTCGGAAATGAACAAGCACACTTTATCATTCAGATATCATGAGGTTGTTCATCAGCCTTTCTGGGTGGGCTGTCTAACATGCTGGGAGGGCAGTATTGCATGGTTTTGGTTTTAAGCATGGATTCTAACTAAACGTAACTGAGTGTCACATCTGTGGGCTTTCCTTACCAGAAAACAGAGTACCACAGGCAGGCCAAATTTTTAGGCTGGGCTGCTTTTTTCATCTTTGTTTTATTTTTTTTTCATTTTTGAAAAAAATATTAGTTCTGTCTCCTTTTGCATGCCTTCCATTTGTTCATTTTTTTCCTCTTTGCATGCCTCACTTTCTTGTTTTGAATTCTACAAAGGTTTGTTTGTTTTGTTAGTGATTTATTTTCTTTATGATTCCCATCCCCTTCCATTTGTCTATTTATAGGTTAAGATTAAATCCTCCATGTTATAGGATTTAGTAACATTTCAAAAAGAAATGAGCAGCCTACACAAATGTCATCCCAAGCAGCCATCTTCCCTTCTTGTATTTGGCAGGAAGTGATGTCATTCCCTTGCACGTCACTTCACTGTTGTTTTTTTTCCTTTCAGGACTTGCTACCCAGAGCTGTGCACTTTTTGTTTTGCAAAACAAACAAACAAAAAATTGCAGATTTCTCCCCTCTTTCCCTCTTGTCCTCACTTCTGACCTTTCTCTTGTTGTTTTGTCTTCGTTTTACTTATTGGTGTGTTCCATTTTTCAGTTTGGTTTGGTTGATTTCTCTTAGACTCTGTTATATATTAGAGCTGTTTGATGTTATTGTCCATGTTTTCTGTTTACCTGGAAGCAGTTGATTAAAAAGCTAAGATGATTTGTTGAATTTTATAAAATTTTTCAAAAAATTAAAATATGCAAAGGACAAAGGCCATCCAAGATGGGCCAACCCAAGGAACTTTTCTATGGTCCATCCTGACCAGAGGTGTGACACTCAGAAATGAACACCAAGAGTGTTACTAATTTAATATTTGATCAATTTTTTTAAGACTGAGGTGGCCACCTCACCATCCGGTGCCTGGCAGAGGCTCCATAAAGTCAATCAAGACCTCCAAAGTGAGCTTGAAACCCAATGCCAACGCCAGGAGTTGATCAATCATCAAATTCAGTCCCTGAAACGTAGTTACGGGGAGGCAAAGGACATCATCCGGCACCATGAGGCTGAAATCCAACGGCTGCAGGCGAGACTGAGCAATGCTGCCGCAGAGCTGTCTATCAAAGAGCAGGCTCTGGCCAAGCTCAGGAGTGACTTAAAGATGGAAAAGGAAAAAGTTACAGAACAGCTGGAAGAGTGGCAGCAGAGCGAAAGTACCCTGAGCTTCCAGCTGAGAGTGAGCGAGCAGCAGCTGCGGAGCGCGGAAGCCCTGCTCCTCGAGAAGACCCAGGAGCTGCGGGACCTGGAGATGCAGCAGGCCTTACACCGAGACCATCAGAAGGAGGTGCAGAGGCTCCAGGACAGAATTGCTGACCTCAGCCAGCAGCTCGGGGCCAGGGAGCAGGCTCAGGCCCTCATGGAGGAGAAGCTGCAGAAGAATTACGAGCTTTTGTTGGAAAGCTGTGAGAAGGAAAAGCAGGCTTTGCTGCAGAACCTGAAGGAGGTCGAGGACAAGGCCTGTGAGTATGAGGACCAGCTCCAAGACCACGAGCAGCAGATGGAAATTCTTCAGAAAGAGAAGCTAAGTGCGAAATTTGAAGGCAGTGAGATTGTTCATCAGCTGGAGGAGCAGCTGGAGATGAAGGAGGCCAGCATTCAGAAGCTGGCTGAGCACATTCAGAGTCTTCAGGAAGAACGGGATGAAATCAGGCAGCGGTTCTCAGAGCTGATGAATCAAGTTGCAGAGTCTGATAACAAAGTAGCTAAACTACAAGAAAAACTCAAGTTGTGGGAGGTGGATTACCAGACTCTGGAGCAGTCTTATCAGAAAGTACTGGATCAGTTCCAGGGTATGCACACAGTCCTGAAAGAAAAGGAAGAGGAATTGAAACACATCAAGGAAATGCATGAGAAAATTCTGGAAAGGAAAGACCAGGACCTCCACGAGGCTCTGGTGAAAATGGCTGCTTTGGGTGGCAGCCTGGAAGACACGGAAATGAAGCTCTTCCATGCAAAGGAGGAGCTGTTAAGAAAGGCTGCTGACAGCAGCCCTAAGGACATGGAAGAGCCATCCAGTAGACTGGACGTGCTGGAGGACAACTCTGT